GGAGGAAGCCTGAGGGGAAGAGACCTCTGGGGAGACCTAGACGTAGATGGGAGGATAATCTCAGGCAGGAGGAAGCCTGAGGGGAAGAGACCGCTGGGGAGACCTAGACGTAGATGGGAGGATAATTGAGGCGGGATCTATGGGAGATAGGAGTTGAAGGAGAATGGATTTTGTTGGCCCAGGACAGGGTCCGGTGGAGGGCTTTGGTTAATTCGGTGATGAACCTTTGGGTTCGGTAAGCCCTCTAGGTAGTTAGTTAGCTGAGGGACTGTTCATGTATTGTGAACTCGTACTAAATTGTCCTGTGCACGACGGTAACCAATGAATCATGAAACTGAGGTAAAATGAATTGTGGTTTGAGATATGTGCAGGAAATATCCAGAAATATACCGGTGACTCAGCGCTGCTGTTTACAGGACAGAACGGTACTCAGAATTCTCTACTGGACAAAAAAAAAATCATGACACAATTGCTCATTACCGCCATCTTCCAACGTACGTCTTAGTTTTCCAGGAAGCCTTTCCTTTGTGACGTCGAAAACAAAATTTCACCATTTCCTTCGGCGAGGAAAATCAAAGCTGGCGAAATGTTACGGAAAGAAAAGTCTTGCGGGAGTCGGGGGAGAAGATACGAACATCAAATGCACCATTTTCCACCAGATGTACGTAACGTACGCTTCAAGCAGCGCAGCGCATTACGGAGCGGTAGGAAACTTAAATAACATTTATGTGTCTCTCGGCCAGAAGCCAGACGCTCACAGAGAGAGTAGAACGACAGTCATGTTCCTCTCTCTCTCTTTCCTGTGACGGCGAACAGGGAAATCTAATTTCCGAGCATCGCAACACATTTAATCTCCTTCATACTGATACGTAATTCGTTTATGTAATTCTTAACGCGAAGACGTTCCTGGTACAAAAAAGTTGCATCATCTGTTTCGAGAGAGAAGTTGAAAATTTCATAAATTTTATCGAGACATTTTACATAAAATCTGGTAATTTCTTTTACACGGAAGACATCATAAGGATCTGGAGAGCTCAGCATTTATAATTATTTGTATTAAAAACGCAAATAAAAGTATTCTATGACAGATAAGGACATGTCACTTTACGTCGGAATTTGACTAAGGCTGAATTCTGATTGGCCGTCTTGGTTTCGATGGAATATCTCCGTGAAGCAAGGACGATAACAGATGAATGTAGTTGGAATCAAACTACGACCTTGCAGACAATCACAGAGGTATTTACTATGAAGAATCTACAGCAGACATTTTTGTATTGAAACATTTCAATTCCATATCTTTTCAATTTTCCCCACTAATTTAATGCGAGTGTTAAATTTAAACCGAAGAGATTCATAGAAAAGAGGTTAATAGTGAAAAATATGTTAATGTCATGGTTCCACTACAAGCGGTTTTGCATATCCGCGGTTTTATTTCGGTATTATGAAGAACTCCAATATCATATCAGTGGCCAGATTTAAAACCTTATTACGTGAGTCGAAACATCTTCAGGGCTATCAGGGATTGTGATTCAGAAAGTATGAAGTATCAGGCATAAGAAATGCTATGAAATTGTGCAAACGGACACCCACGAAATGTCTTGGTGGGGCTATAACATGATTCAGTTTCCAAAATTATTTTGCTCAGTCATCTCGATAATTTTACCCAAATTCCTTACACTTTTTTTTTAAAATGTCATATATATATAACTACAGGATTTGGTTGGATTTCAAGACCACAAATCACACCGCATCCGACGTTACAGTAAGACAGGATCGAAGATAAACAAAATTTCATGAAAATCGTTCAATCGATTTATCGCAATTAATCGAAATAAACGGCCAGACAACCTCA